GCTCTCATGACGCCTGTTAGGTAGGCAACATATTGCCTGCCGCGCATGCGTGTACTGCGGGGTGGCCTACCCTCAGTCTCGCAGGCGCTGAGCTATAAATTTCACTTAACAAATCTGAAGAAAACGGACGTGCTTTCTGGACGGTTCCTAGCCGAGGGGGAAACGACCAAGGTAATCCGGCTGACAGCCGTTCGGTAATCCGGCAGAGGTAATCCGAGGAAATTCTAAAAAATCTGGGGTAATCCGGGTAAATTTTGGGGTAATCCGGAAAAGATTGAGGGCAATCCGGGGTAATCCTAGAGGAAAAGCAACGTAATCTGGAGGATACTCCGGAGGTAATCCGGGTAATCCGTAATGCGGCTGACACAAAGTTTAACAGTCGTTTCCCCCTCGTTCCTAGCTCTTAGTGGCGCGGCGCGGACTCGGCACTCACCCCGCGTGGGACCAGGTGGCCGCCGATGACGGTGTCCTTGGTAAGGCATCTGCCGTTGCCGATGATCACTGGGAACATCCTATTTGCAAAGCAAAACACATAGTGAGACGAAGTCTTCGTCGCAACCAAGGCGGCCGCGGTGGCACGGCCCGGGCGAGGGCCCAGCGCCCGGCATACCTCAGGGCCTCCCGCACGCACGCCCTCAGGTAGTGCATCTTGTCGGTCGCGGCCGTGTCCAGCGCGGAGTCCAGGCCTGGCAGCAGGCGGCTGACCTCTTGAAACACTCTGTCCTGAGCGGGCTGGTTGCGCGCCAGAAGGTACAGGGAGGTCGCCGTCGACACAGATGACTGTAACAAGAGCGAAGGTTCGCGTTGGCCCCACATAATCAGGGCCGGGTCGCCGCAAGCTCGGGGTTGTGCTGCAGGCCAGACGCACCGTGTCGAGGCCCACGAGCATCAGATCCATGGCCAGGACGGCGGTGAGGCGGGGGTCACCAGTGCGTTCCAGGACCTGCCGCAGGAGTGCGCGCTGCCCGCCGCCATCCGTGCTCCGCCCAGCGCCGACCGCCGCGCCCTCGACGTGCCGCATGCACTCCCTGTCGACAAGGCGGACTTGTTGGCCACGTTCAGAGCACTGGGGTGGCTCACAGTGGCTTACTCTCTGAACACGTCCAGGGCGGCCACGTATCTCCGCCAGTCACGGGTGCGGAGCCACCTCGAGTAGGGCTTCCTGAGCTCCACCACCGCCACGGTCTCGAAGAAGGTCCTGACGGCGGCCAGTAGCCGCTCCGTGCCCGCCTGGTCCAGACGCTGGTGCGGGTCGCGAACTCGTAGGCAGCCTAGCCTCGTGCCCAAGGCTGCCACTCCCAGCGCTGCGTGCACATGTTGAGACTCACGATATGGTATGGTGATTTGAAAGCACATGCAGATTTTTTCATAGTATGTAATAAAACAACTCTGTCTGGTCTTCCCTCTATTTTCTCTGACTACAACCTCTGCTCTCTTCGCCTAACTTGCGCAATAATGGTTTACAAAGTTTTGAACGTGATGTTTTTGTGACTTAACCGAAAGGTACTTACACTCCAAGCTCCACCTATAAAGCTCGTTGATGAAGTCATCAGGAAGTTCATTCTTCTCATCCCGCATTGTGCCGAGTCTTCACAAAAATGAATCATAAAACGCAGAGAAAAATAATTATCATAACAGTTTGAAAGGGCAGAAGCCGGGACGGCCGGCGGTGGCGCGTGGTGCGTGTCCTCGCGCGTGACCCAAACCAGCGGCACGAACCTGGCGATGAAGTCCGTGGCCACCGCATCCAGCTCCGCAGTGAAGTTTTTCGCGGCATCGGCAGCGAGCATTACCTTGTTAACTCGAGAGCGAAAGGACTTCCACATCTCCCCGTGACTGTTGAACGCAAAAGGTAGGTCAGAAGTATAGTGTATTTCGACTAACGGGGGAAGAAGAAGAATAGGTGGTAGAACATAAACGTTACCGATTGGCTCTCGAGCTTCCCGCCTCTGTCACGCCGGCACTGGGGGTAGGCGCTTAGCCAATCAGAAACCTTTATATTCTACCCGTTATTATTCTTCTTCCTCCGTTAGTCGAAATACACTATTCGTTGGAGAGTTGTAGTCTACAGACCAGGCGCGGTATAAGAGGGGGGCGACAGGAGCGGCGATGTTCTGTGGGTTGCCTACATACAGGGGTTTCGTAGTACAAATTGCCTACCTTTCAGGCGGCTCAATAGACGATGGGGGGCGATCCCCCCCCCCCCTCTTATATCGCGCCTGCTACAGACAGCAACGTTTCGCTCTCGTACATGCCGATCACCCCCGGCATCTCGCCGAAGAAGTCGCCCCGCAGCGTCCTCTTGTAGTAGTGGATGGAGGGCATGGCCGGTCGGCAGGGCAGCGCGTCCTCGTCCTCGGCCCGGAACACCTGCTCGATGAGGTCCGGGTCGAAGACGAACAGCAGGTCCGGGTGGCCCAGCAGCCCGCCGAGCCTGGCCAGCCGGCCGTACCGCTGGTGGAGGTCCTGCATGGCTCGGTCCAGCTCTCCCAGGCGGTATTGCCCTATTATACGGGAACAACAGGGCGAGAGAGACAGAGGTGAAACAGCTTCGGGGCGGGGACAACGAAGGCAGAACTTTCGACACGAGTGTCGAATGGGTTGCCTATCACTCTTCTCCGCAGGCTGTGGTCGCTTTGCGCTGCCTCTACTGGCGGTTCTATGAACTACACGGGTCGGATGAAAACATGAAAACAATCGAACCTTAACCTCTGGAGATCGAGTCTCGTGAGGATGTTCTTATTACGTTATTAACCAATTAGACTATCGTTTAATCAATCCGGATCAAAATGGAGAATGAGAGGTGTGAAGTCAGAACCTGCCAAACTACGAAAGCCGATTGCCATGCCGAACTACGATTGGTTAGGTAATACTCTTGAATTATTGCTTACATGTGACAGAGGTTAGAGTGTTCAGTGTTCTTGTTTATCTTCGATATTGTAATGATGTTCAAGGAGATTTCTAATTGTGTGTCAGTCCTTATAATTATATTTTTACTGCAACTATTTTTTCACATTGTTTCCAACGTTTTGTTTATGTTAAGTTCAATTTACCTACATGTGCAATACCTATCCTACACTCCACTGATTGAATCTTTCTATATATTCAACTTTAGATTCCCTAATGACGCAAGGCTCCCTGTTTGGATTGAGAAAGTGAAGGGTAAAGGGTCGGCGTGGACTCCTCAAGATCACTCAAGAATTTGCACTCGCCACTTTGAGATTCATTACTTTCTGGCAAATAAACGCTCAAACCGATTGGTTAAAGTTGCTGTGCCTTCCCTTAGTCTTGGCATAAAAGCTATATACCCAGTTCATGTAAGTTTGATGTTGCTCTTTCAAAACTATTTTTTCAATTTTGTCCTCATCTAATCCATGACTATTATTTTGTGAAGCAGTCTACATCGGGATCATCTTTGGGACCAGCCTCACCCTTAACTCTCGGATCCCAATACATGCCATCTAGTATACCGCCAGTGTCAGTGTCCACTGTGCAGCAATTCAAGCCGCCACTCCCACTTGCTGAAACTAATTCAACAAAAAATTCTAGATCAGCAGGAACTAATAAATTGAAGGGTAAAAATGTTGCCAAAAAGAAAGGACAGAGATTCAAGCCTGAACCAAAGGTGTGTAATTTATCATTTCCTTGCTATGAAGCTGTTACGCATTATCCTTATCGATTATTATATAAATCTTATTTACAGATCAAGGATGTCTCAGCATTTCTGAATCAGAATGTGGAAGAAGATGATTATTTGAATAAGATTCTACTAAGAAAGAGTGTCAGTGGTCTGATCAGTCATGTCGAAGAACTTGTTAAAAAAACTGCCAATACCTCCAAAGAATTTGAACTAAAGTCACTAGGGTTTATTCTCCTCAAAATTCAGAAGAACCTTGGCCTCTCAGCAGATGAAGCATTGGTCATCTTCCAGGAACAGGTACCTCATAGTGTATACAAATCTTTGCAATCCTTAGTTAAAGAGGATAAAAAACAGTACAAAGCGTTAGTCCGATCATTTTCTCTAAGTCTGAATTTTTATTCGTTACCTGCCTATAACTATGTGAGAAGTGTGGTGCATGATGCTCTTCCACATCCTCGCACTATTCAGGCTTGGTATACAACTATAGATAAATATATGTACTAAGTTTGACTTATTTTTCATATAAATTTTGGTTTGAAAAATCGTGGTTTGGAGTAAAATAGGAAGTATTTAATTGACCAATTTAACATTGACTAGTGACTTAATTTTGCACATTTTTATGCTGTGCACTAACTTTTTAAAAAAGTATTCACATGAAACAGAACAGGATAGACAATTTCCAGTAATCTCTTATCATGTGAGAACAATTTTGTACCGCTAAGTTAGGTTTTAAAATAAGTTTGTCCCAACACACAAAGGCCAGATGTGATATGTAATGTCAGCATTATGAATTTTACTGTTTTTAAATACCAATCTTGTGCTTTAATTCTGTGATGTATTAAATATGCTCAAAATTCACTTAGAAAATATTCTACTGATGCCATTTAATGGGGCTGGTATTCCCTTTCCTATGGCACAGGTTGGGAATGGACCTCACAATTTGCACCCTTCTTGCCAAGCTCAACAGCAAAGCTTGTATTTTTAATTTGTTTTCCAGTACAGAAACCGCTGAGTTTCTGACTTTGACGATGATTTTGCTTACCGATGATAGGTAGGAAGCGCCAGGTGTTTCCGATGACTGGGAGGCCCGGGGGGCCGGGAATGTCTTGATAAGGCCTGGGCCTGACCTGCCCCACCTGCCCGTCCACGGAGCTCTCGACGGCACAGTCACCAAGTATAGTTGGGGAGGTGGTCGAGGAATGTCGCTGTAATTACAGTTTTCTAATTTCTCTTTGAAAATCATTTATTGCCGCTGTGTGGAAACCGAGCGAACTTAGTCTGCGGAGCAGCAACACGTCTGTCTTAAAGATGACGAATGCTTACCAAACTGCGACTCCTGATTAGCAAAGCCGATTTCCAAATGCGGCCCATGTTGCGACGGCCAGGGCGCCCAGTGTGGGAAGAGGTGTAAGGTGAATCCTCTGACACCTGGTCGTCAACTAACCATCCGAACTGCTCCGAGGAACCACACTTTGGCCGCCGCTGTCTCCCAATCCCCACCCCCCATCCCCACCTATCTCCTGGCACCTCCCTCTCTTTCACTCTCTTATTCCTGTTACTACTAAGATAGGAACAGATATGGTCTAAAATTATTTTTTGGACATGTTCTTCTATATAGTTGTTTAATTTTAGAATGTCGAGTGAGAAGGGGTGGAAGATTTAAAGAAATAGAGAAAAATCATTAAATTTAGGGGTTTATTTATCACAAAATGGCATAAATGCTCTTGCCACTAGAAGCGACATCTTCAAATAAATAATATGAGTTTACAAAATATTTCAGACATAAAACACAAATCAGTCTCAATAGGAAATGAAAACTTGAGATTAACATAGGTCGAAGGAATAGAATTACATAATAAATAGGTTTCGTAAGGACACCGTTATTGTACGATAAAACTAGGATTTAGAGTATCAGGCTCCAACAACCACAGCATCACTTGCAATGCTCGACTCTCTCTTGTCCTTGCCGACGACTGGCTCCTCCGCCTTATTGTCGTTGGGTGGGACGGTCTGCGCCTCCTCCGCGGCGTCCTTGACGGCAGGGTGGTCGCTCTGGGTGATGGTGATGTGCCGGACGTTCTCCTTGGGGGCGGGGAGGGCCTCCCTCCTGGGCGCAGTCACCTGCAGGACGCCGTCGGACGTGAGCTTGGAGGTGACGGAGTCTGGGTCCACGTG